CATTTTTCCTGTTAGATATCAAAGTAACTTTTAGGCATAAGGACAAAGTGATTTCTTATGTTATAATTTAAAATATAAAAATATTTGCATTGATATGTCTGAATGGAAAATTGAATAATTTTTGTCTTCCTTTTTTAGTTAAGAGTGCCCTACATCCGTACATGGCTATATCACACATATATTGTTTCTGAAAATCTACGTAGATAACAAAATTACACGCAGTACTTAAAAATTTGAATTTAGTAGATCAAACAGCTATAATGTGTAAAATTTGGTTTATACTTCTGGTTTTATGTTTAAATTAAATTAATATTAAACGTCGGCAATAGACGTAATATTGAAAATTTATATTTACAATTATAAATAATTTATAATATTATTTTAATTGTGAAAGTGTAATAGGTATTACATCATGTTTTAATTTTTAATGGTGTTTAAATTTAAATGTAAAAATGAAAACTTTTTAATTTTCAATAACGACAAACAGAATACTTGTATAACGTTTAAATTTCCGATAACGATAAACGTAAAAAAATAATAACGTTTAAATTTCCAATAACAATAAACGTAAAAATATAATAACGTTTATACTGCCAATAACAATAAACATAAAAAATTTATAACGTTTTAATTTTAGACTAACAAAATTTGTTTAACGGTTTGATACTAAAAACCTAAAACGAATTTTTTTTCTAAATTCGAGCCCTGTATTGAATAAAGTATGTAGGTAAAACTTCATGGATGTCGAAAATAAAAACATTTTATAGTCAACTATATAGAAGACTCTACACTTGAAATAAAGTACCTTTTTTTAAATAACGTTTTACTGACTTCCTACGATACTCATATTCGTGTTTTAATTAATCGTATATTGTCCAAATGTTGAACAGAAAAACGGTCTAAACTTAGGTATTGAGTAATTGTTTGTATGAGATTAAGATTTAAGACGTTAAGTGTTCTCTTAGTGTAGGTATATTAATATTAATCACAAAATAAAATAAAATTGATAAATGCATTCAAATAATTGTATTATACCACAGAATGCATATTATATTAAGTACTAGTTAGTTCATGTTAAATATTTGTCCAAAGGCGAAGAAAATGAATTATAGGTACCAATAACTTTCATTCGAAATTCATGTACAACATGAATGTTTTTTTACAATAATATTATTCAACTGTATCATATGATCATATCAAATCATATCATATGCACCGATAATGCAAATTAACGTCAGTGATTTATTGCAATTCTTTGGGATTTTTTTCGACGAATATACAATCAAAATTAGTGATAACCTGTTAGATACCTACAACTTTCTCTAAACATACCATATCTATAATATTATCTGTCTACCTACATGGCCAAGCAAGTGACGTTAATGGGAGGCGACTTCGGGGCGCCGATCCAGCACTAATCCTTTACTCGATAACAATCGTTTTATAAACTGTCAAAAATAAAATGTAGCTTGTTGAATTGACCCTTTCTATATAGGCACACACAATTTATAGTCAGACTCCTACTGAGAGGTTATTTCTAAACATAATTGTATGTAGGGTACAGTGTACATCTTTGCCGACCCGGCATGCAGTCAGCTACGTTTGGTGGATCCTTTTATCTTTTCATAGTCGTAGCCGACGCGCGATGCCATGTGTGGCTTTATCGGCAGATGTTTTTTTCCTTCGTCTTTAAAAGGACGCTACATACACATGTGTTGTCACCGTCCCATAAATAAATAACATAAAAAAAAACTATTTCACAAGGGAAAGAACCGAGAAGGCCACAGTTATTACTAAGACCCGACATGCAGTCGCCTACACCCGCTGCTTGGCTAACATTCATCAAGATTAAAATTGAAAAATACATAAGTGTATTATCATGGGTGTACGAGAACCATTATAAGGGTATATAATAATAATAATAATAATAATAATAATAATAATAATAATAATAACAACAACAATAATACCGACGTCCGACACGGACGACACAAGAATGTCGTTAATCTTAAGAGGAATCTACACCGGCATGTGTTGTCTCTGTCTTTAAAAAGGAAGAACATAGAAAAAACTTTTTTGTGTGAGATGGAACCACTTAGGCTGAGCTAAGTAACTATTAATTTATTCAAATTATTTATCTTTAATGAATTTTCTTTAAAATAGCCTTCAGTTTTTTTTTTGGAAACGTAATCGTATTAACGGTGTATAACGACTTCGTACCTATTTCACTTTTGTAAGCATTAAAAGTGGTGTTTGAATATTAATGTTTCTTCTACCAATCATATATATGATATAATGTATAACACTATGTTAAAAGTATTCAGTAATATAAATGCTTAAATGTCGTCTTAACTTTTCGAAATAAAAGTAAATAATACACCAGTTAATAATTAGCCCATATTAATAACCCCATGTTGCATTTTAACAAAAAAAAACGTAATCAGTATAATTATATACTCAATTTTATCGAGAATGAATTTACTTTTACCACTGCACAGCGTTTTTTCTAAGAAACATTATAATCGTATAAATAATATATTATAACGACTTCGTGCCTCATTCAAATTTGTAGGTAGGTGTGTATAAGAAGTGAGATCGCAGTTTTGAGTGCGAGGAAAATATTTGTTTACTTTATATCGGCATAATTTTGAATTTTTTTCGTTTATACTAATTAAAAATATTGGTATACAAAATATATCAGATGTTAGTTTATTTAATGGCTAAGTCCTAAAATCAACAATGAGTGTTTAATTTATTTTGTACAGAACGTCAAAACGTGCAAAAAATGCGAGGATGGCTGCGTGTTGCTGTAACTTTATGTTAAAATAGAACGCTACCCCCGCACGTGATGTCTCTGTTTACAAATGTACAACATAGCAAAAAGTGTTATGATCTTTATAGAAAACCCAGACCTGTATTCCTAAAAGACACTTCAAAATTGGAGATAATATTTTCTGTGTCATAGCTTTTTAATTTGTTTGATATTATTAATAAGAAAAAAGAGTGTGAAAAAAAAATGTGCTATTTTTACGTTTTCCAAACTCAAATAACTCTTGATGATATATTGGTCTTCTCGAAAAATAAGAACTCTACGACACAGTAAAAATTTTCCTCTATTTATGGTGAACATTTGGTTTCTTTGTTATAACTGTGTCCTGCTCAGTTCTTTCCGGCGTAAAAAAGATTTTGTTATGTTATATATATATGTGTGTGTGTGTGTGTGTGTGTGTGTGTGTGTGTGTGTGTGTGTGTGTGAGGCACTGAGGCGGAGACAACACATGCAGGTGTTCCTTTTAACGAAGAAGGAAAAAACTTCTGCCGATAAGCCATACATGGCATCGGCTACGACTATGAAAAGGACACAGTGTTAATCCTATGCAGCTATTATATTTTTAGTGCCCAATACGACAGATGATTTCTCTTCGGGTATTCTATTGAATAATCTGCGTAAAAATCACACACATGTGTTTCGGCTTATTTTCCTCTGCTCTTTGTGTTCACTATTATAATAATAAACTACAGCGGGTGGTGAAATACAATATACGATTGTAAATACGTTTCTTCGATTGTGCCCAGTTCCAAGTATTCGGATACTTTGGCTATATAATATATCATTTCCCTAAGCTGATGCACATCCTGTCACGGACCCAAACATTTTGCAAACATTTCTTCTTTGTCCTGCTTTCCTGCTCTTTGTGTATTATCCCCATTGTAGAGTCAATGTTATTATTATATACTTATCTACCCTTATAATAACATTCATAATGGTGCACACAATAACCATTTTTAACCTCGACAATACGGTTTAGTGCCACAGCAGGTAATGGTCAGGTCGGGGAACATATAAGTACTTACATCAAACATGATTTTGATGGAAATTTGGTCAAAGGCCGGCTATAAAATATTGTATGCGTCTGTAATAGAAAGGACTCAACAATATATTCTGGCTACATTTTATTTAAGTAGAAGCAACCGTACCCACAGTCAATGGACAATAAACGACCGGCGCCGCCAAGTCGCCACGCCTTATAACATCTGCCTTACAAGGTAGGTGAGCCGTGGAATGCAGGCAGTATAGCCGGTAGGTACTTTTGGATGTTGAATACGCGCCAAAATAACTCTACATAGTAGCTAATGGCTATGTATTTTCCTTTCAATACCGAAAGAAAAATATTCTACCACTAAATACGATTCCATGTAAAATTAAATTTCAAAGCCACAACGTAGTCGTTGGCATGTAGTAAAACTCCTTAGCATTGCAGCAAATCACTGACGGAAAAAATATTCCACCTAAATAATATTGTAATCATCCGTAGAAAAAGTGTCTGTGATTTGAAATTTATACTCGAAAATAATATAAACAAAGTCAACGAAAACTTTAATGCATTACAACATCAACATTGAAACTACTACCGTCAACCATGGCACTCGCAAATTTCGAAGATATGTTTTTGTCATTATGCACATTTTTCAATAGCTGATATAATATAGTCTTCCCAAAAATGATTGTTAAGTAAAAAACTACTAATTTGCCACCTGTGTAACTTAACAGGTCTCGAAAAACATGGCATTTAGAGAATTTCACACTTTACGACCTCTCAGATAACACAGCACTAACTTTAGTGATTAAAAAATAGGTAAGTAATTATATTATTGTCAGATAACAATAATTATATGTATAGGTTAAAAAAAGGTTAAAAATGAAATATTTCTATATCTTGCATACTTTTTTTTAAATTCACCTCAGAAATGTGGGAATCCATTATGCCGAACACTGTATTAAATTGTTGGTTGTCAAAGGTGCCGCCGATTCGTTCATAGGACGACTCGAACCACTACTACCGCCCTCCCTACCAACACCACCACCGCCACCACCGCCACCTCCTCCACCGTAGCCACCACCACGGTCGCCACCACCGCCGTCACCACCGACACCGTGTCAACCTATAAAAGAGCTCGCGAGAGGGGTCTCATTATTAGTGTTGTTCGGTTTTTTGACTTCTTCCAGTTCACCTGTGTACTCGTCTTGCTGTCCAGTTTATCTCGTCCTTTCAAATATTTTGATTTTATTCCAATAATCATTTATTTGACTTACATTTCTTTGTCATTTCTATTGGATTGAATTTTTCCTTCAAAACCATGAAGTCGACAATAGCAGTGATGATATCGATCATCATAATCATCGCTTTTTCCGGAAATACAGCCAACTCGCAACCCAATAAGGAGTTGCTAGGCGGTAAGTACTTATATTAAACGTCATATTCTCATTTCGATATATTTTTCATTTAATTTCTTTTAAGTATTATTCATCTAATTTATTAAACAGTTAATATTTAAGAAAAGTTTTTTTCCAACCTTGATATTATATTTGTTGGGTTATAAGAAATATTATTCTTTACTTCAAGTTTTACTTTACACTGATTTATGAATTTTAGTTTGTTCGATTTTAATTTATTAATTATTATAGTTTTGACCTATTACAATGTATTTTGTTAAATGTTACACATATTATTTTAATAAATATTAATAATAATGGTTATAATACAAAATAATACCTACTTTAATTATCCTCAATATTTATTTGTAGTAGTTAATTCTAAAATATTGTTTTGTATAATGTATTATGGATAGTTGATGGCTTTTTAAAATTCCGTTTGATGATAGGAAATATTAGTTGTAATTACGTACTCTAAGAGTTGGAGTTCTAAGTTAAATTAATTTATCACACTTCATTTCTTTGTTTTGAGATAGCTTATGACATTTTTCCTCTAAATTACTCATTTTTTAGTGGTATACCTATACTCGTTCAAAAATTTGAAATAGTAGTAAGAAATAATCTTATAAAATATACTCGAATACTTTTTAACGATTTTGATCATTATAGAAACACTAGTTTAGTTCATTGGCACGAACAAAACGAAATAAAAACGGTGCATAAAAATTGATTTTGGTTACTGTTTAATTATATTATCACCTGAATTTCATTATTTGGTATTTAACCATAACCGTTTCTGTATCATAAATTTTAATATAATGCGTTTGGAATACAATATTAATTACAAGGTTCTAATTTTTGATTTTAGTAATAATTAATAAAATGTCTGATAGCGTATACTAATATATTATATATTGTATATTGATTATATACTAATGTTTATAGATTTATTTTTTAACTCTTCGATTTCGTTATCAATTACATATACCTAAATATAATACTGATACCTAATGATTAATGTATGCATGATACCTACATCTCATATTTTGACAGCTTTGGAAATAAAATAAGCATTTTGCAATTCATAAGAAATTTTAGTTTTTAACACGTAAGTATGTATAAGGAATTAATGTAACATATTGTATTAAGTGACATAATTCGATGATGCTTAATAATTAATATGAATATTGTCATTACCTACATTTTACTTAAGCCAAACGGTCCCGACAATGCTTGTTCAATTCGATTGTCACTAAATAACATAAAAATTGTTTTAATGGTACCTATAATAGTATAATATATATTATAGTAATTGCGTTTTCAGATGCTAAACGGTGTGCAAAATTTGTATAACAAAAATTAAGTTTATGAGCCTTTTTTCACCCAAAATTGTAAGAAATAACCAAAATACTATTTTTTTTAGTTTTTCACAATAATCTAATAACACATATTTCAAGTAAGTAGACTAATAGGTGACCGGTCAAAATATCTCCGCAAAAATATCTCCGACAAAATATCTCCGATACAAAATATCCCCAGTAGAAAATATCTCCAATTTAAAATACCTCCAGTATAAAATATCTCCGATTTAAAATATCTTTAATGTTCAAATTTTTTAAATGTCACTTATTTTATCTTAACACAATATATTTAAAGACATACATTAAATATACACTCTTCCACAATTTCAAACAAAAACGTGAACACTAAGCTTCTCGCTCGCGACAGAGCATATAGAATATACATTAGATGGTAAATGGACACTTCCAATACTGTTTATTGTTTGACTTGAATACTGTAAATACTTTGTACAGTTAATATAAATGAGTGAAAATCAATAGTGGGCACTTTCTTTGGTAATAATAAATTGATAATAATTGATCGCGGACATTTTATAGTTTGTACCATAGAAATAAACCGGGAAATATATTTAACGAGATAAGATAAAATATAATAGCTCAACATTTTAGATCGAACACGTGCTTTCAATCAGTTTGAGTTTGACAATAGAACATAATCTACCTACACCTTTTTTTGTTTTTTTTTCTCATGTTTGTATCGATGATACCGATGGTATTTATTTCGTATTACTTCCGTATATACTTATGTATTAGTATTACCATTGTTTATTGAAATCAGTACATTATATACGATACAATTAATGAATTTTATTTTACAAGACGTTAGTCTCAATGGACAGCCTAGCCCTTTTATGGCGTTGTAGTTATTGCATTTTGTCGTTGATGCTAGTGGGCCGTTCAAAATAAATACATAAATAACACGCTATGAGCGAAAAAACAAAGGGAAATCCAAATAGGTATTTTATAGAATAGGTTTGGATATACCACTTTAAGAATAACAAATAAAACAATAACATAATATACAAAATTACTTGAAAATATTTGCCATAGGGACATTTGACTTTTTAATGTATATATGACTTAGTACATTCTAAACAAGTACAAACTGTCCACGGATTCCTTTTTTTTCTATATGACCGTACAAAGTGTGCTACTACATGATAACACAGCTCAAAATATAAATAATAAACAACGATGAAATACCTAACAAGACGTATTGTTACAAAGTATGTATGTTCTTTGTAGGTGGGTCCCAGTTTGTGAACATCAACAAAACAGAGATCGAGGCAGAAACCACTGAGTCAATTATTGAAGATAGTGGCAGAAAGTAAGTTTTTAGCAACTAAGCATTGTCACTTAGGTATCACCATAATTATAATACTATTTAATACTCGTCAATGCTAGGCATTGCGTAAAAGTTTGAATCAAGAACACCGTCTTGACATTTAGTTACCGAAAAATAAATTGTACATATTACATATAATTATTATATCAATAAAACGCATTATACTTATAAGCTATTTAATAGTAATTAAGTAGTAATTTAATTTTTAACATACAATAGTTTTAAATATATAATTCAAATTTAGTGCATACATACTTTTATAGTACTTTTATAGTACTTGCCTCATTTACTATCGCTAAATTACTAGGTAGTATTTTTCTATGAAATATTAGACTTGAAATAGACGTATAATAAATCCAACTACAAAAATAATATTCAACTAATAATTCAATACTTTTTAAATCAATGAAAAACATTTATCTTATACTTATTATAACATGCAAAAATCTTTGAGGATTGGTAATGAAAATAGTTTAGGCAATATTATCTTATATCATTCTTCTAATATTTTAAAAATGTATGCAGAACATTTTTTATTAAAATTTTAAAATTGAATTCATGAAAAATTTGAAAGGACATAGGTACTTAAAATAATGTTTCAAGTTTGTAATCAAATCTTCTTAAATTAGTCTAACTAAATTCTACCTCAAACAATAATTCTAAACCGCGGTAATAAAATTTTTGAATTACCACAAGTTAAATATTGTATTTAATATATTAATAAAACGATAACAGAACATGTTTTTAAATTTTTAATAATGTTAAGGTTGACGAAAAGGTCTCCAGGAGGAGATGGAGGCCTGGGTTCGACCGGCTGGTGGATGTTGGGTTTCAATCGCCTCGACGATTCTAAAATCGACGTGGTTACAGAATCTTCTCAAGGCAATACGAAAAGGTTAGTTTTGTAGTGAAAATGTTTCTATACTTATCGATTTATTACTTAACTGTAGTTATATTTTTGTAGTAAATTAGGTGTACAGAAATATTAACAGTTACTGCACTAATGTTATGATCAGGTCATAGAATTGTGCTCGAAATATTTTTTCATCCCTATTGACTTGTAAAATTAAGTTCATGTAAATCTTGAAAGGACATACTTAAAATAATACTCTTCCTAGTTTTTAATCAAACTTTTTACTATTGTAACTAAATTCTACCTCAAACAATAATTCTAAACCACGGTAATACAATTTTTGGATTACCACAAGTTAAATTTAATGTTAAATATATTAATAAAACGATTGCAGAACACGATATTAAATTTTTATTAATGTTAAGGTTGACGAAAAGGTCTCCAGGAGGAGATGGAGGCCTGGGTTCGACCGGCTGGTGGATGTTGGGTTTCAATCGCCTCGACGATTCTAAAATCGACGTGGTTACAGAATCTTCTCAAGGCAATACGAAAAGGTTAGTTTTGTAGTGAAAATGTTTCTATACTTATCGATTTATTACGTACCTAACTGTAGTTATATTTTTGTAGTAAATTAGGAGTACAGAAATATTAACAGTTACTGCACTATGTTATGCTTAGGTCATTGAATTGTGCTCGAAATAGTTGTACCCCCGTCCCCCATATTAACTTGTACAATTAAGTTCATGTAAATCTTGAAAGGACAAACTTAAAATAATACTTTTCCAAGTTTTTAATCAAACTTTTTACTATTGTAACTAAATTCTACCTCAAACAATAATTCTAAAACACGGAACTACAATTTTTGGATTACCACAAGTTAAATGCTATGTTAAATATATTAATAAAACGATAACAGAACATGGTTTTAAATTTTTTATAATGTTAAGGTTGAGGAGAAGTGCTCCAGAAGAAGATGGAGTCCAGGGTTCTATCGAGAGGTTTGTAAGAGATTCTAATCCTCGCAACGATGTTGACGCCTCCATGGCTACAAAAGCTCCTCAAGGCGTATTGAACATGTAAGTCTCGTAGTATACCCGTTTCTCTACTAATCGTTTTATTATTTAATTGTACTTATATTTTTTTAGTAAAGCAGATGTATAGAAATATTAGCAGTAAGCCAGTAACTGCCCTAATGTTATGTGTAGGTTATTTAATTGTGCTCAATATTATAGTTTTGCTATTCCTAGTCATTTTTATAAGAAGTTGTGGAACTATACATAAATAAAAAAAATACCTATGATATAATACTAATTATTGCATTAATTCAATATATTTAGTTGTTTTACATGGAAATATATGTATAAAAAATACAAATATTACAGAAAAAAATTGTTTTTAAGAAAAATGTAAAATGACAAATTAATGAGAATTCTGTGTCTGCAACTTATCAGTGAATAGTTCTATATTAGCTTAGTAGAGATTCGTAATACCACTTACAAACGTTCATCACATATGTGTGAATAGTGTTTTTTTCTCTTTTTCGTAATCGAAAACGTTTGCTCACATATATATGTAATTGCAAACGCCTCTATAAGTTTTTGTGAAAATTGTCGGTTTCTTGGTAATGTACTGGAAGACAACTTTAAAAATGCAGCAAAATAGTTGCTCCCTGAAAATAATTTTTTAGATACTCGTTTTTTTAATGTTAAATGAATTACATTTGAAAATTGTTCTTGAAATAATTTATTTCAACTAGAAATGAATTCTAGAATAGTTTTGTTTTTTTGTCATGCTTATAAAAATCATCAAATCTTGTTGAATGTTCCTCTTGCAATATTGTTCAATGATATTCAAAAATGTAGGTTTAATTAAATCCCACGGCAACAAAATATGGTATTGCAAAATATTCAATAGTAGATTTACAATACAGAAAATGATAACCATTTATTGATCCAAATTATTGTACAATATTATGTGTATACTCTATGAACAGCATAATTTTCATAGCTCGTTTTGAGATATTTAAAGACATTTTCAATATTCAATTTTAAATTCTGAGCGGAGCGATGAATGTATTAATTTTACAATGATGTGTGTTTTTAAATGTATTTATTTATTATTTTTTTTGTGTCTGTCGTCACGGTTTCTCGCAGTAAAAGTGCTTCGATTATCTTCAACGGCAACTTTTCTGGTAGGACTCAAAAACAGTTTTCGAAAAAATCAATTTTGGTTTTTAGTTAACTACAAAATGACTCTAGGTACATGATATTTTCTTTGAATATTTTTGTTATCGTTTTCAATACACCGTAAACTTTTCAAAATATTTTGACTTGTATTAAACTATTTTTAGGCATATAACATTTTTGTCTTTCTATTATTTGTTTTTTTAGCTAATGTCGATTAAAAATTTTCTCTCAGTCAAAAAGCTTGTAAATATAATACGAGATTCCTCGTTAGTTTTTGTAAGTGGAAATTAAAAAAAAATTTGCGTGTAAATCCATAAAAAATTTCTATGAGCATTTAAACTTAGAAAAGGCAAAATTCGTAAAAATTACGAAAATTAGCAAATTATATTTAGTTAGAAATTATATATCTAAGATTTAAAAGTTTAATACAAGATACCTAATAAGACGTCTGTTTACCTTTATCAAAAAAATTTTTTTACCGGAAAGTCAAATTAAATTTTTATGAGCGTTTGAAGTTGATATTTTTACAACATTATATATTCACGCGATTTCTCTTGTAACGATTTTCTTATTTTTTTGTAATTCAAAAACGAATTACTGTAGACATTTAAAATTAACACCATATTTATTTCACCTCTTTATATATTTTATAAAATGTTCAAAACATTTTGATTCGCTTTAATCTGTTGACGCACATTTTCAATTTTCATTTTTTTTCTATTTATGTCAATATAATTGTTTGGTGGGGTAAAAAAGCATGAAAATGTAATCCAAAACTCTTGATAACTTGTTACAATATCAATTGAAAACTATTAAAAATATAGAGGCCCGATTTATAAGTATTTATAGTTCAAATTTTGACAATATATTTATCAAGTTGAAAATTTAAAATGATTTCGTAGTTAAAAATTTATAAAATGTTCAATTATTATAGCTAAAGATTGAAAATTTAAAATAAGTTTCCACTTAAGCATTTTTTTCCGTAACTAAGAAATCTAAAAAATATATAAATACAGTTATTTTTTACAGACATTTTAAGTTCAAATTTTTACAAAATTGCATATTAACACAAAGAATAACGTTTATCATTTTGTTGTAATTCGGTTCCAAAACAGTTCAATTTTACATAGGTATAAATAATATTTTTAAAGCATCACTGATAATTTAAGAATAATATTTTAATTCAAATTTTAGGCTACCATATTAATAATAATTAATAAGTAATAACAATATAAAATAATAAAATATCACAAACTGACATACCGTCTCCGCTCAGAATTGTTTTTTGTTGATTTGATTTCATTGAATTCAAATGTAATACCATCCATTATAGCGACCTTCTACACACCCGAGTACAGCAGAGAGACATCCCTCTTTTTTAAATTATTTTGTATTTTTTAGTTTGGTCAAAATGATGAACATGCAAATCGACAAAAAATTTAAAAAAAAACATTTTTTATGCCTATAAATAGTTCGAAATGAGAAAAATATTTTGAAATAATATGAAAAAAAATATGCGTCATTGTAAAATCAATACATTCACACTCCAGTCAGAATCTAAAATGTTATAACATGCATTGCCGTTTTTATATATAAATAGTTCAATTATCGTTATAACTTAGAGGCTAAAGTATAAACTATAAAGTGGCTTGGCTTCTTCTGTCATGTCGTTCAGAAAATTTCAGGAGCATGGTTGTGTGACACCTAGTCATAATATTATATGTTTAAGAGAATATTATGACAATTGACAAGCAAATGACTTTCATTACCAGGGCTGTGAATTTAATGCACTTAAAAACTATTAAATATGCATACATATATGCACTAAAATCTGACAAAATATGCTCTAAAAATTCTTAAAATATACAAAAAAAACTACAAAAATTAAACTTTTATTTTTATTTTTTTCATTAGTATAATTGTTTTATTAATTTTCTTCTGGTATATATCTAAATCTACGTCATTTTTTTCGCAATTTAATATTTTTGAAATATTACACATAATTTGAAACCCTTTGTTTTTGTTGAGTACTGTCTGTAAAAATAGAATAATTTTGATAAAACTGAATATTACGAAAAAAAGCATTTAAACAAAAAAATTATTAAAACATGCATTTATATGCCCTAACCCATGAAATATGCCAAAAATATGCAAAGTAAAATTTGCTATTTGAACTACAAACAAGTCAAAACAAATTTTGGCCGAATCCATTTTTTTATAAAGTGTAGCAAAAAAAACATGCAAATGCATTAAATTCACAGCCCTGGTCATTACCAATAAAATATTATTATTTATTTAAATAAAAATCATTTCTGTTTAAATGAAAATCGAACTCTTTTAGTTTGTTAAAAATTATGAGTACAACATTTCAGCAGGTGACAATCTAGTATCTAGAATACATATTATTAATAAATGGGTAATACATAAATAGTATTTAAGATAATTTTTTTTTAATTTAAAAATAATAATTACCTATTTCTTAATAAAATATACTATACTTCTATGGGGCTTATACATTATATTACGGTTATTATAACTAATGAGGAATTGCATATTATATATAATGAAACATGTTTTACCTCGTTAAGGGGACGTTGTGCCCACTGTGTTGTCTGTGTCTTGCACGCGTATGACATAACAAATTTTCGTTCACCTGTTTCAATAGTCTGCTGTTAGTTTTGATATTAGAGTAAAATGATCTATTATCAAACTTTTAGGCAAGAATATTATCAACATTATCTTGTTAAGACGGAGACAACACATGAGAGTTCTCTTAAGTTAAAAAAAAGTGTTTCATCATAAAAATTAGTTAAAAGTAACTTAACATTTTAACTCGTTAATGCCAAGCCTTCTTTAAAATAACTCATGACTCATGAGTAATAACAAATGAGTGATAGAGATGGCGGCTAAATATGTAGAAGTCAAAATAATTAGTATCGTAAGTCAAGGGGATATTGTTGAATAATAAGGACTATACATAATAATAACGTAATAACTCAATAATATTATATTTATTATTTATTTTAAGAAAAAAAATGTTAAATACGTTGGCTTTTCCATAATTAATCTTAAAAGTATTTTTTTTTTCATTTGTTCAAAAAGAAATAGAAATTCAAACGAGTTCAGCACCAGTAAGGGCTCACCAACGACCGAAGTTATTCCTTCAGACGAGATCAGCACCAGTACAAAAAAAAACTTAAGTTGGAAACGGAATAAAGGAAGGGAGTACAATAGTAATATATGCTTATTCTACGATTTGCCTGAAATTGCTTGCTGGGCTTTATTTAATAAGGACTATTAATCAAATTTTATAAAATAAATATTTCTGGATGTAAGAAAATTTATCATTCTTAATAAAAATAATTTAAATAAAAATTCTTCTTTTTTTAAGTAGCCTATTGTTGTACTTTTTTCAATTAATTTAGTCAACTAAATCATTTCCTGAATAAAGCAATGTACAATTATTTAAGTCTACATTTATTCAAGTTGTCATTAAGTAGTATGTTCAAGATTATGTTTACCTAAATACATTTGAACCTTTCATATCAGGAACAGTCACAGGTGTTTTTCCTACAAGTTAATAGACAAAAGTAAGTTTGTCGATGGTGGAATACCTACTCATTTCATTGGAGATAAATGAATAATCGTCAATTAAGAACTAACTCAACATAGTGTTTACATTCTTACAACGGACATAAACGACTTTAAGACTTAAGTTCACATCATTTAAATCTGAATGTACTACCTAAGCGGAAAATTAAAGTTCACGATTCTCACATAGTTTTCCACATTTGGTCTACTGTTTAAAGCCTTCAATTTTTAACTAAATTTAATCGATCCAATTAAGTACATTCGAAAGTATATTTTCTAAATCTCGTTTAGTAGACGTGGTTAAAATATTATAGTTATTCACATTGGATATATTTTTTTAGTAGTAATTGACTAGTATTCTGTTTTGAGCTGAACCTATTTCCTAAAGTCTTAACTATTTCCATACATAAAGTTTATTAGAATTTAACGAGGTTCTAGTATTTTCACTGTGAAGCCTACCGATGGTGAATAATATTCTAAATATTGAACAAAAATGAAACCTTTACTTAGCATATGGCATAGACCCTATGTCATATATTCAGTGTTAAATAGAAATCTTGCCTTGAATTTCATATAATCCAACATTTTCAAAATTTTCAAAAACATTAAGAAAATCTTAATCGCCAATATGCTCTCTCCAGTTCTAAGATCCATCAAATGTATTCTTTATGTCAACATTTTCTATATTTTTCAAAACATCGAGACAATCTTGATCACTGATATGGCCACCCTAGTTCGTACATCCCTTGTATGTCATTGCATCTACAATCCGTGATGTTTGAGACTGCCTTGGAGAGCCGGTCGGTATGTGTGGTACAAATATTTGAGTTGCAATTTCGAGTTTAATCCGTTGTGAAGTGACGGTTAAAATAATAAAATAAATAATTAATGAACAATAAATTTAAATATAGTATTATAATATTTTTGCTTTGAGCGTTGTTTGCTGGGCTGGATAGTACGTCTGGTACCTACGTTTGCTGTACGATATCAATTTTATTCCACTGTAACACCACGGTAGTGTATAAAACATTTTAAATAAATAAAATGAATAAAATAAATATTAAACATAACCTAACGTAGAAAGTCATGATATTTGCCATGACAGGCTAAACGGTGTTATGTCGTAAAATATGTGTACGTACATTGTGTTCTGTGAAACAAATTAAAAATGTTTAATGTAAAAAAGTTAAAATAAAATAATAAAATAATATATTAAAAAAAAATTAAACTCTGAGAATAAAATCGTGGAGCAAACACGAAGTGGAGTGTATAGGTCAATGGTACTATGTATGTATAGTGTTCGATATATTAAGCGTAAGAAAAAATTCAGAAACAGGAATTCTTACAAATTTAATATTTTATTTGCTGATTGAAATAGAAAACGCACTAATGTTCAGTAGCAGTGGGTCACATAACATTTCGACCGCCTTATAAACTATATATTATTCTCAATAAAGATACGACCATAATTTCTAAATTAATAGTTTCTGAAAATATCGTTCTAAGCATTAAAAAAAAATTAAATTAAAAATTAAATTATTCATTTAATATTTACCTATTTAAGTAATTAGTACTAATGTATGTAGTATAAAAAGTATTGTATATGTAATCACTTATCAGTTATTATCACGTTATTATATCACTATGTAGGTTATGGTACTGCAGTGTTAGTCAATTATTTTGAGAGTAAAATAACTTTTGTGATCCAAATTTTGAATAACATTAGATGGTGTAACTGAGTCAACAAAACTTATATATGGAAAATATAATTTTAAAACACAAAAATGCATAATATTATATTAACATGTATTAATTATAACAGTTTATTTTTCTACTTCTAAATTTTAAGCAAGCTTATTACCAACAATCGTTATATGTACTAATACTTTATGCAGTGGTCAAAGTGGCTCAAAATAAGTGGAGGGATGTCTTTCAAAATGTATATAGTTCTTATGTATTGCTTAAACAGTCGTACAAAATAAGTAGAGGGATGGGAATGGGAAATATGAATTATAAAACATGTGTGTGCTTAAGACCATACAACAGAAGTGAAAACTTCAACAAGGCGAAATTAATAATATGAAATACTAGTTTTTTGCGTTCTATTTTGATAAATTAATAACTTTTACAATGTACTTAATTATAATTGGGTATATAAACACACGCACACACACACACACATACACACACACACACACACTTACGCACACATACACACATATCGTAACATCCTAAGCAACACAACCTAACCTAACCAATTCTGCCGACTGTGCCGAGCGACTGAGCGAGTATGGCAGTGACGCTTCGACTATCTTTTCTCTCGCTCTGCTGACTGTTCCTCTCATGCTTAGTCGACTCGAGCCGACTTAACCCGAATGAGAGTTACATAGCCGAGCGTGAAGGCTTAGTTAATTCAGTACCCACAAAAAGTGCTAAACGCGCCTAAAGAAGTCTTCAGTTCAAAAAGGGGAGGGATCCCACTTTGACCATTGGTTTTTATGCTATGTACATTCCTAGTAATAGCGGGTTACTTTCAAATTTACATCACGTTTAATAATATTTATTCAAATACGCATTTGTTTGATGAAATTTTCAAATCAAATATATAGGTGCATCACAAATTAACACATTACGACGCATTAATGTAATTTTATTTTAAGTTTAATATCGTCAATGGGATTTTTTTAATAAATATTATAACCCAATTATTCAATAACCTATTATTGCGTTATTTTATGTTATATCATATATTATATAATATTATATAATATCATATAATCACTAATCATATCATATGTACCGATAATGCAAATTAACATCAGTGATTTATTGCAACTCTTTGGGATTTTTTTCGACGAATATACAATCAAAATTAGTGATAACCTGTTAGATACCTACAACTATATTTAAACTACCATATCTATAATATTATCTGTCTACCTACATGGCCAAGCAAGTGATGCTAATGGGAGGCGACTTCGCGGCGCCGATCCAGCACTAATCCTTTGCTCGATAACAATCGTTTTATAAACTGTCAAAAATAAAATGTAGCTTGTTGAATTGACCCTTTCTATATAGGCACACACAATTTATGTTCAAACTCCTACTGAGAGGTTATTTCTAAACATAATTGTATGTAGGTGTACAGTGTACATCTTTGACGACCCGACATACAGTCGGCTACGTTTGATGGGTCCTTTTATCTTTTCATAGTCGTAGAAAGAACCGAGAAGGCTACAGTTATAGCTAAGACCCCGACTTGCAGTCGCCTACACCCGCTGTTTGGCAAACATTCATCAAGATTAAAATTGAAAAATACATACGTGTATTATCATGGGAGTAGTATGATTTAGGCGGTTCTGTATCCCCCGCAAATCCAGGAGATCCAGGTACCCCGCCCTCCCTATCGTGCGCGTACCATGCCTATCGCGGCCATGCCCCTCCATGCCGTGCCCGGCCTTTCCCCCTCCATTCCAATACCTGCCCGGCCATGCCCCCCCTCCCTCCCATACACTACATGACCCCCCCCCGAAAATTATAAGTAGTCGAATTCAATATACCCTCTGGGTCCCCCGCAAATCCGGCGAATCCGGCTACCCCGCCCAGCCTATAGATCTATGCTATCGCGACCGTGCTCAGCCATGCCCCCTCCCCTCTCATCCATCACATTCCATGCCTAGCTATTCTCCCCCCCCCTAAAATTAAATATTAAATAAAACTATTAACCCTCCCTCATCGGAGTAGTGTTTACATACATATAATAATGTATACTTCACACTGCCCAGCCTATAGTCGCGTACATACTAGAGCTTTAAAATTAGAAAATGTTCGACATTGTATGTAAATACCTAACATATAGTCAGTTTTTGATATATTATATCCTCTATAATTTAGTGGTTAGAGCACTGGTCTTGTAAGACAGGGGTT